AAACCAAAAATAAAGAATTTCCCTTTTAATAGCAAGGCACGGGCGACTGTGTTCTGTCAGCAAAAATACAACAAAAGAAGAACTAACATGATTAGCAAATTTCCAGTAGAATAGGCTGATCTAAGGGAATATTATTCCTTTTTTAGTCAACGAAGAACCCAGTCTACGATTCCAAGGACTGGTCTAACCATGCATTAACTGTCAGTCTTGGCATCAATGAATTTGAAATAGTGAGGTGGAGGGTTTTCTCTTCCAAGCGATCGCATGCCTGTTTGGGTATCTAGCCCACCTTACTTGCACATTTGATAGCGGCGAAATCAGGACTTTTTAAAAAGTCAGGCCATGTAAGGGTAAAACTACGACAAGTAACACGGTGCTGACACTACAACAAGCGGGTGAAGTGATATAGTGCTAACACCATAACAAGAAGGCAGATGAAAGGACGGCGAATGAGAAATAGGCTGACTTTCCAAAATAAATACCTTAAAAGGTTTGAAATTCAGACGAGGGACATGGATATGAGTAAGTACTTGTTGAAATACTAAAAGAATACATTCGCTGTCCATATTCAAAACGTACACTTATGGTTATCAATCAATTAATCAATCAATCAATTAATCTGTCAAAAAGTCAATCAAACAGGAAAGATAATTGGCATATAGGCTTAATTAGAGAACTGAAAGATTTAACAATTTTGTTGCTTCACTTTACAGAAGAATACTCCATGGCGATGCCAACTATATTTTGCATTCGCAGTTGCCATTGTTATCCTCGTCATGTATTCAGGTAAAATGTTCATTCTGTTAGAATAATACTCAACATCAACAGAGAGTAATGAAGAGAGCAGATCCCCCGCGTGCCCCATGATAGTTACTTGTAATCTATTTATAGTTTGCGCTGGATTATTTTTAGTCCGTTCCCGTGACCGCGCGGTTTCCTCCTATAACACAATTATATGACGTCAGTCTCACTTACCAATCAACTGTCGAGTTGAAAATAGCCACACTGCTTGGGACAGAACTCTGAAACCACAAAAAAAAAAAAAAAGAGCTCAGTCCTATAGACAAACAAAAGTGAAAAAAGAAAGATGCATATTATTCTTAAGAAAGAGAAATGATTGTGATGAGTTAAGGCGGCTAGGTCACGGTATTTTAGGTAATTCTGTTTATTTTCGACAGTTACGCGCTCTTAACGTCAAATTAGCAGGGAAATAGTCTTGTATTGGTAAACATACGTCCACGTAACAAGCAAGGATGATAACTAAATATTACAAATGGCACTTCATACTAATTGAGATACATGTAAACTTGAAAAACTTTGACCCGACGTTTTAAGTTTGCCCGAATGTAATCCGTTTTAAATTTGCCAAGATTGCCCATACATGCTCCTTTTTGGCTTTGCTGTGTCGTTTGAGTTTTCCTACAGTTGTAAGCCATTATTGTGCTATTTCCCTTACTAATGTGGGGACACCAATTATTGAAATAGTATTAAAAAATAGAACTATGTTCCGTACAAGTGGTGCCAGTGTCTTCATATGAAATCACTATAGTGACATAATTGTGTTCTTGCTTCTTATATAAGTCCATAACTTCACAAGAAATCTTAGTAAAAACAAACCTTGTGGCAACCGCGTCATAAACACAGCTCTACCAAATGGAAGTCGTCAGATTATTACAAAGGGAAATGTCAGCTCTTGTTTCAAGGAAGCGTTCAAAGACTTCTTACTTGTTATTGTTTACAATTATCCATTCTACGATAGCATACCTCATCTGGAAGCTCTGTATAAACCTGTTTTCCCTCATCTGTTATTCTGCGGTCCACCTCACAATACGACGGAACCAGGCATTCTTATGGTTGATATCAAGAAAGGCTTTCTGGGATACGAGTGTCTTGGTAGAGTAATACGAGGACATCCGGGATATGAGGGATATTTCTACATCAGCGATGACGTCATACTGAAATATTGGAATTTCCCAGAGTTTGACAGGGAAAAGATTTGGGAGTCGTCGTTCCTTGTTTCCAATCCACTTAACGAGGCCCCGAGAACTAGTTGGTATTGGTGGAATACCCCGTATGGTTTGAATAATTGCCGAGGAGCTTGTGAAGATGTAGCAAAAATGACTTTACGGCAGAAGAAACTTAACGGAACACGCCTTTTAAATACTCTTCTGGAGAACAGTGATGGGACACTGCGATGCTTTGGAAGTCGTTCGGACGTTTTATACATTCCTCAAAGGCATGCCAACGCGTTCGCAATTCTTTCGGAAATGTTTTACAAACGCAAAGTTTTCCTGGAAATTGCCGTGCCGACTATTAACCGACTCCTAGAGCAAAACGAGAACATCGCTCGTCTTCCTGGGTACTACCTTCCAGGAAGAATGGCCGATCCTCGTGCAAGTGATAGCAGGTTTTTCTGGTACTTTTACTTCTCTCATAACTAGTACTGCTTCATTCATCCTTTTAAACTTCACCGACAAGGACTTGACAGCAAGTTTAACTTAGTGATGTTTAAATTTCTTTTTATAGATAAAATCAAAGCGCTAACGAACTGTTAGCCCACGTTCCTGTAATCAAGTATGTTTTTAAAAAAGAAAACTTTAGAGACAGCTTTTATAACAGACTCCGAAGGCTGAATGACCATGTCTACCCGCATTAATCAATATTTCACATGTGAGATTCCGGCAGTGCCAGTCTCTTGGATGCGATTTGTCGTACACGCGCACAGGCTTAACCCGCTGCGAAAAAAAATATCGCAGATTTCTGAAAAATAGCTCAGTAATCCTTGCGCAACCAATGACGGACTGCTGTAGTTATCACATTGAACATCGCCAAGCTTTTGCAAAGAAGTGCAGTGGTATTCCGATGGTAACGCTATCCTCAGTCCGAAAGAAATGCCACCCCCTAAAAAACCCTGGGAGTTTTTGTACGTTTATTGAGGTGGCCGAACACAGATTTACATGGGATTAACGGTATGTCTTAATAGCCAATGATTTTTTAACCCAAATAAAACAGGGCATTACGGTGTAAATGCATTGCAGTTTAGCAAACTCCGAGGGTGTAAATTATCTTCGCACGCGCCGTCATTACTTCAACAGACTAAATGTGGCTTGAACGAGTAATTTCGGATTAACTACAAGGGAGGGTGTGTAACCGTGTGCTGTTATTGTAAGATCGTGCTGTATCGAGTCATAGAAGTAAGATTGTTAGCGCAAGCTTTATTACACGGTGTTCTCTTATAGGAGGCAGCGTGGCCGAGTAGTTGGGGCACCGGACCTGAAATCCGGAGGTCGCGGGTGCAAGTCCCGCTCTGACCACTTAGCTGGAGTTGTTTCTAGGTAGACCCTTGTTCAGCTCCTCCATCATTCTTGTACATAGCCAACTGGTCTGCCTCCTACCAGTTGGGATTTTTAACCATCTTATGTTCATTTGCATTATTTGTTTCATCATTTGGTTTCATTGGCCCTGAAAAGCCCCATTGGGGAGTGGTCAATTAAGATATGTTATTAGTATTATTAGATGATTCCATATTAACCCGTAGAGAGATTGAAGGTCTAGAAGGGAGATAGAGCTTGATTATGTGTTCATAGTGATAAACACATTTGGCTTTAGATTCCAAGATACTACATTAAAGCAGTACATTTATTTTTGATTTTGTTAACCATTACATTCGTATGCTTAGCTGCATTGTGGATTGTTTGTTTTTGTCATAGTTATTTAGTTTTTCTGTCCTAAACATAACCACTCTAACTGACATCTAACAATATATATTAGGGTTAGGGTTATAATTGATATCTAACAATATATATCTAAACTAGTGAAAAAAAAAAAGAAAAACAATAATTGTGAAGGCCAATTTTCAGTTATGATATAAAAGGACACGACTATTTACCACCTAAACCTGTATTCTTTTCACCATCACTGAAATCGGTTCATCTCCAAAGCTTTAACGAGTTATTTCAGAATAGCTGACCATAGTTGTCTCCTTTCCCCCATAAGTGAAATGGTTACTTTTGCTGTTTAACGCACTTAATGTGATCGGTGTAACTAAATTGTTCAGTTGTTTAGCATGACTAACATTTACTGTGCCTTGGTGAAAATTCAAATAACACTTCAAGGTTACCGAAAAGATACGGGGAAACATTTCCAGATTTTAATCTTAAATCTTATGTACATATAACTACTTTTCTTTTTTGTCATTTCTACGAATACAAAAACTATGCAAAGCACTTTAAAGTATAAAAATACTATTTACAAGAATAAAAAATCATCTAAAATATTAAAAGCAAAAGCAAAAGCTTTCGACTTACAATCAAGTCATCACCGAAGTATCTTTTAATACCTAAAATTTTCAATTTGAAATTCATAGGACAGGCGCCCAATAGTTCGTCAAATCACACTTTAAAGGCTACAGAAAAGATACATGAAAATATTTCCAAATTCTAATCTTAAATCTAATGTTCAAATGACTTAGTTGTATTCTTTGTCATTTTTGTACAACTAAATTAACTATGCAAAGCACTAAAATATTAAATTCTGATTTCTACACGGTCCCACAAGCTTGCAGCGTTAATCCTCACCGTGTTTAAATAAAGTTTATTGTATTGTATTGTAAAAACGAAAGCAAACGAAAATGCTTTCGCGTTAAGATCAAGTCACCACAAGAGTATCCCTTAATGCTATATATATGAAATTCATAAGACAGACGCCCAATAGTTCAAAACTGTGGGTGGGACAGGGTGTAACCCTTTCACTTAGCTGACTGACTGACGGACTCACAGACTGACAGACAGACAGACAGACAGACAGACAGAAGAACGGGAAGGCGGACTGACTGGCTGACTTACTAACAGAGGAACAGATCTGTTTAGATCTAGTAAAGTCTTGACAGGGAGGAGCGAAGAAGCTAAACTCCTTACTAGAATGTTTAAAAGCGTTGCATGTCTTAGAAAATGTAAAGACATGTTAGCGATGGCGGTTATCTTAACTAAACATTTTCATTAATTGTCGTAGAAAAAAATAATCTAACCTTTTAATCTTAAATTTAATGTACAAACAATTAAACTTATTTTTTCTTTTTACTACTAATAAAAACATGTAAAGTATTTTAGGGCATAATTGATATTCTAAATTAGTAATTCTTGGGACAGAGAGCCACAAATTAGCTAGTGAAAACTGTTGTGTGCCTTCTCCCATATGTTACATGACTGACTCGCTGATGGATGAACTGATGACGGTCAGCGACAAACGGACGAACGAACTGACAGACTGACTGACTGACAGGCAAACAGACTGACTGACTTGCGAACTGACTGACGAATTGACTGACGGATTGACGAAAGGACGAACTGACCGACGGACGAACTGATCGAGATACGAACAGATGGACAGACGAACTGACTGAATAACTTACGAAAAGACGGACAAACGGACAGACTGACTGACTGTCTGACTGAGTTAATGACAGACTTAATGACAGACTTACTGATCTAAATTAATTTAGCTGACTCTTCAACAATCCGCAAAGTTTGCATAGGCATTAAAAGAATCCAGGTATGCTAGGATTGTCTCGTAACAGAACACGTACTTTTCCTGAAAAACGAAAACAATTGGCACCTTAGCTCAACAGAGAATAATTACGCTAAAGGAGAGCGGATGGAGATAATTATTTTCATTTGTACTTTCATTTGAAGAAAATCATTATGTAGACGGCGAGTGACATTACCTCGTTGCAGTCGATCACGCACTAAAATCACCGTGTGGGTGCTGCGTGTTTTGTTTACAGCTACGGGGATGATCCCCTACTAATATTTCTCGAAGCAGAATACCGCTCTGGTATTTGGCATTACCGTACATCTATTGCTCTCGGCAATTTTGTTGATTAAAATGCTGTTTTAGCAGTACAGAACAAGACAAATAGAATCTGAATACACCATCGTGTTTTTCAGAAGGTGTTATTTCAAATAAGAACGCTGAGCAGCTTACCAAAGTGTCGACAGCACCAGGTCTCTTGGATCGAATCAGTTTAATTGTCTGAAACACGTCAACTGTTTGTTCAGACTTAACTCGCTCAATCACTGACATTATTGAAGACACACAACCACTTCGACCATCACCATCACTGTGGAAAAAAAAAGGACATAATTGAGCCAATATTTAGAGCGGTTTTCAATCGAGTCCCCTGGGACCAAAACCAAAGTAGTCATTCAGGCCAGTTACAAATTACAAAAACAACGCAGTGAACCAATCAAGTCTCGAAGCGAATACATGTAGAAGAGAAGAAAAACACCAAAAAGAAAATAATAAACCATGAAGGAACAAGGATATTTAAGGATGGAGAAGATTAACATAAATTAAGAACGACAGAAAAAAAAAATTTAGGCTAAACTTTTCAAGATGCGTACTTAGCCCCGTTAAATGCCTTTGAAAAACTCCTGCAAATACTTTGTGCATTTATTCTTTTGGAACAGTCTGGTTGGTGTATATGGGGCAAACAAAGTTATGTGCAAACCAAAACTTCACTATTCACCTGCACTGAAAAACAGTGACGCCATTCCCGGTTTGTTGCTGAGACTGCTGTACAGCGGTCAGCAAATCGAGTATTTCCTGAGGATCTGGGCACGAGTCAAGGTTGGACCATCCAGTGAAGTGTAAGTGCTGCACAGTTGACTGCTTTTTTGGAGGCTAAGAAAATATGAATAAACAAAGTTTTATGTGAGGAAGCACAGGCCTATCACCAGTTTAGTGCAAGTTCGTGTACACTACTTATCAGCACTAGAGAGAGAAACAACGAAAAACGCCAGAACATCAATTTAAGAGTGTTCACATAAATTCTATTCATTAGCCACTTCCTGTACCGAGTTAAGAGTTATTTCAGTCCTGCGAAGTGAAAAATATTCTCTTGATGGCAAACTATCATCGACGGATCTGTTCACACCTAAAAAGGCTTTAATGAAGTTTCTAATTGTCATTAAACTCTCAGAGCTTCTTCGTCTTCGTTTGATTGATTGACTAACCTGTTTTCTATTTATATCGTTTAGTTTAGAAAGTCCTTGTATAGTGCTTAACTTTTTAAGACGCAACATTACTTCCAATAGATATAAAAAAGACATATTTGAAACGCAAACTTTCTTCTAATTATAAATAGAGCCGAAAAACATTCTGAACAAAATATAAGCTCAGGGGGATTTTATGGGTTTTTTTCATACTGACCCCCTCTCCAACCACTGTCGAACCAAAATATCAAAAATTTAGACCATCACCTCTCGATAACAACAACTCTCACCTCGGCATTCAATACGCTAAACTTCGTGGTCGTGATCTTGTTTGAAGTACTTTCCGACAGAAACTGTATGGTGATGTCACCATACTTGACGGAACCCTTTGTAGGCCAGTATTGTGGATAACTCTACAAAGACATGAAAACAAGCCAAAAAGCGAAATAATGTTCGGCGAATTCTTGCGCGAGGGTAAGTGTGAAATTCCATAGAACAAATTACAGAAAAATTCTTACTCCTGGTTAAGGGGAATGAAGACTCTGGATACGAGGTTGTATTGTTGGATCAAAAGTAAAATCGCCGCACACCCGCAGAAGATTGTGACAGGCCCCTTCACTTAAGTCGCAGCATTATATTAATTGTTATAAGTACTGATGTCAAGTTAACCCTTTGAATACCAACTACGCATATATGCGTAATTAATGGTCGTGCTCTTTGTACCACTTGTGACGTCATCAATTTAAATGTCATTAGATATTCTTGATAAGCTGATAGTAGTGCTAGACTAGCCCTTTCCGCACAATGGTCAGGTTTAGATATCGACGACATTCCGACGTCGCAAATCGAAAAGCAAGGTTATCAGTTTTGGTGCAAAAACGGTGGTAAAATGGTCCACAACGCCTATGATTGATCAAGGTCCATTTCTAGGCTTCGCCCGTAATTAACATCC